AAATGTTTTAAGAGACAGTCCGGATGATCGCAATGACTTTGACAAGCTGTTCAACACCGTCGGACCAATCTTGTTAATTTGAATTTGCTAGAAATAAACGATTAGTTGATTTCTTCTGTAAATAAAGTTTGATAGCTAATGCTTGGAGTATTTTATTCAATCGAAGATTCGAACCTGTCGCATCGTAAATCGGTTACGACAGCGAGTATTATAACAATATATATAAATATATATAAATATATATATATATATATATATATATATATATATATATATATATATTTCAAAAATTCAACACTACTTTCAACATTGTTCAACTTTTTCATATTTCTTTTTAATTTATTAATTTCCGAAAAATTGGACATTTTATTGTTTTTTTTTAAATTTTTATAAAAAATTAAAAAAAAAAAAAAAAAAAAAGCAATAAAATGTCTAATTTCTCGGAAATTAATAAATTAAAAAGAAATATGAAAAAGTTGAACAACGTTGAAAGTAGTGTTGAATTTTTAAAATGTTGCGTTAACAATAGTCTGTTACCAAAAATATATATATATATATATATATATATGTTGGTAATAGACCATAATTTTTACAATATTCCATAAATTCTACCGAATGTTTGGCGTTAATATGTTTGTAGTTCGTTTTTTCAATTTTTCTCACTAAAGTTTTTTTGGTGAACGTTTAGTTTATTAAAATTCAAAATAAACTTATTTTCCGAATTCATGCTGCAAATAAGGCTGTTCTGGTATATAACTTTGGTGTTACCGTCAAGGATTTCACGGCTAATAGTGATTGAGTGTGTTGAGTCCGAATTTAGATGGAAATAAGGTGTCAGGTTTCTTTATTGGCTGGTCATCTTCTTTGGTCTCCTTTTCTTCATCGATAGCATCATATTCTTCTTTGTCACTATTTACAATAAATTTCGGTAGAATTTATAGAATATTGTAAATATAAATATATATATATATATATATTTATATTGGAAGGAATTTAGATATGGAGGTTGATTATGAAAACTTTTTTAAACCTACATTAAATGTATTGATAAGGCGTGTCCAATAGTTTAAAAAAAATCGGTTCAGGAAACCAAGGATGGATTTAGAACTATTCAATTGCTGTCAATATAAAATAGTTTATGTAAAACTTACTCATCTAACCCAACTATATCTAATAAAAATATTTAGAAAAACTATAAAAAACAATATATTAAACTTAAAATAAGTAAAGAAAAAATATTTTTTAGAAATAAATTTGAAAATTGCAAAATTAATAAAGAAAAATGGTTTATAATAAATAATATAATTAGTCCAACTCCATAAAATCACATCTCTTTAAACAAAACCCTTCTAACTTGACGTCAAGTCACTCTAGATTAAACAACTTTGATTTTCCACACTTTTATGTCACTGATACATCGCCAAATGAAAGAATTTCGATTGTTAATATAGTTAAGCTTAAAATGAGTTATGATTGTGACCTTCTTCCAAATAAACTATTGAAAGAAACTATTCACCCAATTGCCTATCCACTATCAAATTTAATTAACAAATCAATTAAAATAGGTAAATTTCCGGACAGATGAAAATTGCAAAAGTTTTACCAATTTTAAGGGTAGCGACCACAATCAATATGAAAATTATAGGCCAATATTTATTTCATCAGTATTCTCTAAAATACTCGAAAAAATTATGTTCAACCGAATTTGGAATTTTTGATACTGAACAATGTAATATATAAGCACCAGTATGGCTTCGTGCCAAAATCTTCTACTGAAAGAGCAATGACCGTATTATAAAACTCTCTCTCTAAAAGGGTTATGAGATGAAACAATTTACTATTGGTGTGTTTATTGATTTGAAAAAGCATTTGATTTGATATAAATCACAACATCTTAATTTATAAGTTAACCAAATATGGGTTTCGAGGAACCATTTCGGATTGGCTTCAATCTTATCTTAAAAATCGAAGACAATACGTTGATGGTGTTGAATCTCCACTTCTGGAAATAGTATCGGGTGTTTTTCAAGGGTTTATATTATTTGTTAATGACATTTTTTTAGTATCAAACGTTTGTACAACTATCTTATTTGGGGCTGATACCAATATTTTTTTTATCTGGTGGTGATCCAGAATTACTGTTTTCAGATATGAACGATCAACTTGATGGATACCTTAATTGGTTCTCTAAAAATAAATTGATATTAAATGCTAAAAAAATCATGCTATTTGATCTTTGGTCCAAAAATAAATACAAAAAACATTATATTTGACAATACGACTATTCGCATGGTGATTCTATTTTATCAAGAAATAACGCAATGAAATTCTTGGAAATTATAATTCAGTCTGATTTAAAATGGGATGAATATGAAAATGTAGTATTGGTTAAAATACATAAAATCAAAGGTGTCATTTACAGGTCGCGTAACAAATTACGTCAAGATTCAATGTTATTACTATACTATTCCTTATGCTACCCCTGCTTAATAAATGGTAATGTTTCATGGTAAGTTGACAATAGCCCAAAAAAGATTTTTAAGAGTGTGCTTTTTGATGAAGCGTTTAGACCACACTGATTGTGTATAATTACATAGGATTCTCAGTATCGAGCAAATTAATATTCATCTAACATTGACGTTTATTTATAAGATATTAAACGATGAAAATTATAAATCACTTAAATTCTTTGTAAGTGTTTCATCTAGCACAAGACAACAAGAGCCTATTAGTGTATCGAATAGTAGGACTGAATTAGGTAACAGAAATTGGGCTGTGAGAGGAAGTAGGTTATGGAATTCTATGGGTTTATATAAAAAATGTTTTGCTAATTATAAAAATTTTAAAATATTTTTGAAAGACAAATTTTTCACTAGGTAATATCATTTTTATTTTCGTTTTATTGTCAATATTTTGAAAAACTTTCTTTCAATAGTTTAATATTATATTACTGTCTGTTTGAGTTACTATTATTATACGATTTAGGCTAGAATAAAGAGGTTTATATAAACAATTTTGTTATTATTATTTGTTGCTGATTTTGTTATCATAAACTGTTTGTTTAGTCAACATTTTAATTCTGTTCCACTTTTGATTAGCTCATTAAGGTTATATGTTACCCAGTTTTTGTTAAGGTGATCTGCACATACATCAGTATCTTGG